TTGTCGCGCAGTCTGCCCAGCTGGATTCGTGCAAGTTCATCAATGAGAAGCTCGAGGAGCAGGCAAATCACCTGCAAGCGCGCCTAGAGCGCCTGGAGGAGGCCAAGCAGTCGCTACTGGATCAGCTGGCCGAGAGTCGGCTCCAGCTGTCGCACCGCGAGAGTGATCTCACGCATACTCGAGAAGTATGTCCAACACGCTGCCCCGCTCCCCCCCCCCCCCCCCCCCCCCCCCCCCCCCCCCCCCCCCCCCCCCCCCTCCCCCTGCACCTGCCCACCGTCTTGCACTTCCTCGGCCGGTACTCTCTTCTGCTGCTGCCTGGTCGTTTCTTCTGTGTCCTGCTCACCCCTCCCGCCATGTGTGCCATCCTCTCTCCCCCCCCCCCGTTCCCCCCTCGCCTCGCCTCGAATATAGCTGTTGGTGGCCACTCAGCGCGACTTGGCTGACGTTGGCTCTCGATTGACTCAGGTCGAGCGCCAATCCAAGTCCCAGTCGCAAACCATCACCAACCTACGAGCCGACCTGGCCCAGGCCAATGCCCGGGCCGGTGACATGGAGCAGCAGCTTACCTCGCAGGAGAAGAAGGTTCGTCCGTCCGGATGTTGCTGTGTTTTGGCCTCCCTTTTGATCCCGCTCTCGGGGCCCCTCCACACCGGCTAACTGGCCCCATTGGGGCGCCATTTCTGCCCGTCTGCCACACGGTCAGACTGCCAGCCAATTGGCCGAGATCACCAACCTCCGGCGGTCGCTCCGGCACACGGAGCGGCTGCTCTCGTCCGAGGTCGAGGACAAGGGTGCGCCTGGGCCTTGCTCCACTTCCGCTGCTTTCCCTTCTTTTTTTCTTCACTGCCCTGCGGCTTGTGCTGATCTCCCGCCACCCCTCCCTGCAGGACATCTTGAGGCCGAGATCGATACTCTCCGGCCACTGACGGCCGAGGTGTCACGCCTGCGCCGGAACAACCGCATCCTTGAGCGGACCCTGCGGCAGCAGCAAAGCGCCGCCGAAGATCGCTTCGCCCAGCTGAGCAGCACCCCTCCGGGCGCCGGGATCACCGGGGCCGACCCCTGGCTGGGCATGTCCCCACGGGCCAGCGCGCTGGCCGATCCGAATCTCCAGCTTAGCCCCTCCTTCCGGGACTCGCCCAGTCGGCGGCTCACCTGGCAGGCCAGCAGCAATCGCCTGGTCATGAATGAGGTTCGCCAGTGGGATCTGCCCGGCATGGGGGACATGGACGGGGACAGCATGGATGACGAGGAGGATGTGTCCGAGCCGACGTCCCCCTCGAGCGGCCGGGCAGCCGGTGCCATGGCCGGGGTCCTGAGCCCGGACCCGGCCATCGCCGCAGCCGCCGAGGCCACTCACGCGGCAGCCCTCCTGCGCGAGGCGGACATCCTGGTGCAAGCGTCGCTGCATGGCGCGCCGGATGCCCTGCTGGCGGAGGGCCTGGTCTCGGACCCAGGCTCCCTGGTGGATGCCCCGCCCGAGGAGACAGCCTCCATGCCTTCCTCGCCCTCGCTGTCCCTCTTCGAGACGGTCGGCGATTTTGAGGATGATTTCTCCTCGCTCCACCAACTGCCCCATGCGCAGGATGCCATCGAGGCTTCGGCCTCGACCTCGGGTTCGACCCCGGCCCCCCCCAAGACCAAGGCTCCCTCCACGGCGGCGGCGGCTCGCCGAAACCAAGTTGCCCCGGCGGTGGTGCCGGCCTCGGCGTCGGCCCTGCCTCCGGCCTCGCGGGTGCTTGCCTCGAATGATGTCGCGCAGTCATTGCTCCATGCGATGCGTGAGCTGTCGGCCTCGAATTTCAAGCTGCACCAGCAGGCTCTGCGAGATTCGGAACTGTTGTCACAAGCACGCGCCGAGGCCGAGGCGTGGCGCTTGGCGGCCCAGCGCCGGGCATCGGTTCTCGGCGCGGCGGCCGTCGGCGACTGGCTGACCGAAGAGGAATATGCGCAGCAGCAGGAGCAGCAGGAGCAGCAGGAGCATGGGCACCCGTTGGGCATCCTTCAGGATGCCGGGTCATCGGATGCCGAGCAGTTTTCCTCCTTCGATATGTACCTTGGAGAATCGAACACCGGGACGGCTGGTGGTGATGCTGCTGCTGCTGCTGCTGCTGCTGCTGGCAGTGCCCGGCCTGGCTCGCTGGCGGTGGAGTTCGCGGCCGCCGGCGAAGTCTTGCCTGAGGGCTCGGCCCCGGCGGGTGTGCCCTCCTCGCCGTTGCGCCTGTCGCCGGTTCGCCGGCCGGAGCACATCGTACAAACGCCGATCCGCGCGAGCGTCAGCATGGCGAACCTGGGCTCCAGCCGGGGTCAGCATCCATCGGCCGCCCTGGGGTCTGTCCTGCCGTCCCTGCCGGCCTACCCGCTGACCGTCAGCAGTCTCGATCTGCCGGACGAGTCGCGGCCCACTTCACCGGCGGTCCCGCTCGTCGGGGGGCCTGCTGCCGGGCTTCTGCCCGAGCCGTCCGGTGGCCCCGATGTCGCCGGTGAGGCGGCTCTTCCACGCTCGATGTCGGACTATGATGATCGGCTGGTCGATTCGGCCTCCGACCCGGTCTCGGACGCGGGGCCTGGCACTGCGGCCGGTGCGGCCGGTGCGGCCGGTGCGGCCGGTGCGGCTGCCCCGAGCCCTGCCCCGGTCCGGCGTGACCGCCCTGGGCTACCGCTGCCAACCAGCAGCCGGCCGGCGTCCGTGCCATGGGCTCCCACCACCACCACCACCACCACCACCACCACGCGCCTGGTCAATCATGCGCCTCCCACGTCCCCCGGATCCGAGGACCCGGTGGACCTGTCGACCGTCTTCAGCCGGACCAGCCCCCCGCCCTGTCCGCGAACCGTCAGCGAGATGATCTCCCTGGCGCGGGACATTTCCGATCGACTGGCGCTCACGTCGCCGGTGCGACTGAACCGCTCGCTGGCCGTCACCACTCGGCAGGCTCTGCTCAGTGTTTCCGGCACCGGGGCCAGCTCGGGGGATCTGGCCTCCAATGCCCAGACCGTGCAGGCGTTCGACACCCGGACCGTCAATGCCATGTCCAACTACATCATCAGCAACATCATCGACGACATCGAGGTACGCCGTGCCTCCACACCACCCCGGCCCCTGACCGCGTCATGGGTCCCGGGGCCTCCCTCGCTTGTGGTCTCTTTCCTTTTCCCCCTTTTTTTTTGCTCGCCTCGAGATCCGCTGCTGCCCCTGGGGCCGGTCTCCGTCTGTCCTCTGAAGGGCTCTGCCTCTGACCTCCGGCCCGGCCTCCCCCCTCCCCCCCCCCCCTGCAGGTGTCCCTCGTCGCTCCCAGCCGTGCAAGCATCCTGCAGCGCTCGACGCAGGCCAGCCCGGCCCGATCCCCCACGCTGGGAGATCCCCTGCTGGCGGCGGACCCGGCCGAATCCGAGCAGCTTGCTCGGCTGGCGGCACTGCTGGCGCGTTTGCTCAAGGAGCAGGCCTCCCTGCGGCAGGACATCAACGACTACGCCATGACCTATGTGGACAAGCTGGACAGCTTGGCCAACGACGCGCTCAACTCCCCGCTGAAAACCCGCCGGGACAGCATCTCCGCCATCAAGGCCTCGGCCTCGGCCCAATGCTTGATCATGTAGCAGGGCGGCCGGGTCTTCGCGCTCTTGTGCCGGCCGCCAGCGCGTGCAGGCCTGGGGAGAAAAATAATACAAAATCCACAAATGGGACTCGGCCCCGTGCTTTCCCACCCCCCTCCCCTCTGGAGGGGGGGGGGGGGGGGGGGAGGGGGGGGGGGGGTGACTGTGCGTGCGCATCTCCACGAATGTGCACAGCCAGAGAGGGACATGTTTACACGTATGCACATGCACGGGTGCGGGTTTATTTGAAGTTCATGATGATCTCACAGCGACCCGGCCCTGTCCCGGGCTGGGAGGGGGCGCGATGGCGAGGTTGACACAGAGGACGTTGGACGGGCGGCGTTTATGCCTCCCCCCCCCCCCGGGCCCGTCCTGCTACCACTCCCTCTTCTTCTGGGAGGAAGGGGCAAAGGAGGGACAAGGCTGGTTGCTGGTTGCCACGGAGCGGGCGCGCTCACAGCCACGATTGAGCCAGGGTGGACCCGGCCCAGCCAGCCCCCTTGACCGTGACATTCTGGATGTCCGCAACAACATCCGACCCCGGGAGAGTGCTCTTCAGCATGAAGCGACGCTGATTCGAGTCGGAATTGACGCTGGTTCCAGGTAGATGCGGGAGCCAGGGCCAGGGATGAGGAAGGGAGAGGGAGACGAGGAGAGGGGGGGGGGGGGGGCAAACGCATGTCAGCTTTCGTGGGGGCGTCGGCGCAAAAGGCAGAGAAAGACGTGAGCGGCTGTCACGCGCATGCCCATGGAGAGGACACGTACGCCCGGATGTGGTTGTACAGATCGAGGACAGTATGGCTGTCATTAAGCCGCACGGTCAGGCTGGGCCAGCACGCACGGACGGGATCGGCCCGGATCGAGGAGCAGGGGACATGTTAGGCACCGTGTCGGGGGGCCCCCACAGCAGGGGGACCATGGAAAGGGCCGGGAGCAGGGGCGCAGCAGTGGCGTACTTCGAGCCAGAGGCCAGGCGAACGCGAACCATGAAGGAGCCCGGGCTGCCGGCCGGCAGGGAGATCTCCGCCGGGGAGGAAAAGTCGGTGGTATTGGCAATGGAGTTGGCGGCCGCCTCATCAGCACCGCCGGCCGACCCCAGGCGCAGGCTGGTCCCGGCGAACTTCGGCGCCGGGGGGGTCGGCGCCGGATGGTTGAAGGTAACCACCTGGATGTCGGTGTGCAGGGTGGGACTGTCGGCCGCAACCCCGAGCCGGGGGAGAAGCTCGCGCGGGATGCGCCTGTTTCGTCATGGTGCGCGGTTGGTTAGTGAGACTGGCGACTGGGCGTGAGAGCGGTGGCGACGACGGCGGCGGCTGTGGCAATGGCTGCGGTGGCTGCGGTGGCTGCGGTGGCTGCGGTGGCTGTGCCAGCAGCGGGCGGCACAGGGAGGCGAAGGTTGCCAGGAGGGTGCCCCTCGACCGGCCAGAGGATCAGCCATGTGCGTACCCGGACATGACGACTTGCAGCAGCTCGTGAGATGCCTCATCGGCGAAGGAGTGCAGCGGCTCGGCCGGGCCCTCAGCCGAGTTGGAGAAGCCGAACCCATCGGTGTACATGAGGAGGTACACCCGCCGGGACTGGGGGGCCGCCTCCGACTGGGCATTCAGGGCTCCCTGGCTGGAGGTGGAGGGGCTCATGCTGGGCGAGCCGTTGGCCAGCCCCAGGCGGTAGGAGGTCCCGGTGAAGGAAGTCGACGCCTCCTGCGAGTCGTATGCGCTGTCGGTGTCACTGGTGGAGTTGAGGAGGACGAGGACCAGGGATGGGCAGCAGGGGCGCGAGGTCAGGCGTGTGTATGTGTGTGTG